AAACTACTTTACAATACAGAACTTCCTTATAGTTTAGATTTTCCCTTAAAAAATAAGGAGTGAGCTCTGTCATTTTGTAAATGAAAGGGGAAACCAGATATGAGGCTGAAATTCAAGTCGGCTTACTATCAATTGTAAAATTATATCTTGGCATGGTTCTACTACTTGTAATGGCAAATGGTTGCTATTGTACCAACCAAGCTGTAACTAAAAGTATCAACTTTGGACAAATTATTAAACAAAGTACCTGAAAGCAATAGAGATTGATCAAAACCAGGCAGAAAGTGGAAGGGGGAGTGTCTGTATTTAGAAGAAAGGAATGGCAGTGGGTTGTTTCCTGTTTTTTACTGTTTTAGCTTAAGGGCAGGCTCCAGTCAGTATAGGGGGTGCACAAACTTAGAGGCTTGAAGAACTACAGGCCAGAGCTCAAGGCAACCAGAGTAGGTGTAAAGTGAGGAAGGAAATCCCCAAAAAGACAGAGTCAAAGAAGGGAAGCCCCAAATTCATTGTATAAACTTTAGCCAAATCTTTGACTAAACCTTAAACTACTCCTGTGTGGTATCAAATCCAAGAGACCCAGCAAAAGCTAAATGAAGTGAAGAGAGATTCCAGCTACTGCCCCTGAAAAAGAGCTTGATTTTGAAGTTCAGAGTTGAGTCTAGAAAAGTAAATTGCCTGCTTAACATATATACACACACACCACCACCACCATCATGTACAACATATTATTCACAATGCCCAGTATATAATTCAAAATTTCTAGACACACAACAACACAAGAAAGTGTGACACATTCAATGGAAACTAAAATCATCCAGATGTTTAATTTATCAAAGAGGTATTTTAAAGTAGCTGTTATAACTATGCTCAAGGAAATAAAGGGAAACAAACTTGTAATAAAAATGACAAAAAAAACCCAGTAGATAAATAGAAACTATAAAAAGAAATCAAATGAAAATTATAAAACCATAAAATAAAATATCAGAAATAAAACTGGAGTAGTGTAACAGCAGATTGGAGCTGACAAAAGAAGAGTCTGGAACATAAAAAAAGATCAATAGAATTTATCCAACCGAAAGAACCGAAAGAAAAGTTGTACAGAGAAATTAAACAGAGCCTCAGGTACCTGTGGAACAATATCAAAGTAACTAACAAATATGCACTTGGAGTCTCAGAGGTGGAGGAGAGAGAGAATGAAGCAGAAAAAATATCTGAAGAAAGAATTGCTGGAAATGCCCCCAAGTTGGTTAAAGATATAAACCAATATTCAAGAAGCTCAGTGAACCCTAAGCAGGATAAATACAAAGAAAACTATGACTATGGATCTCATGGTCAAACTGCTGAAAACCAAAAACACATTTATAATCCTGAAAGCATCCAGAGAAAAAACAATACGTTACAGACAAGGAAACAACGGTACAAAATCTACTGACATAAGATTAAAAACAGTGAATGCCAGAAAACAGCGGAATGATATCACTAAAGTACTGAAAATAAAACTGCCAATTGACAATTCTATATCCAGTGAAAATATCTTCCAGGAGTGAAGGAAAAGTAATTTTCAGAAATATGAAAACTAAGGGAAACCATCACCAGCCAACCTGCACTATAAGAAATGCTAAATAAACTTTAGTTGAACCAAAAAGGAAAATGATACCTGAAGGAAATTCTGATCATCAAAAAGAAATGAAGGGGGCCGGCCTGGTGGCGCAGCGGTTAAGTTCACACGTTCCGCTTCTCAGCAGCCTGGGGTTCGCCAGTTTGGACCCCAGGTGTGGACATGGCACTGCTTGGCAAAAAGCCATGCTGTGGTAGGCATCCCATGTGTAACGTAGAGGAAGATGGGAAAGGATGTTAGCTTAGGGCCAGTCTTCCTCAGCAAAAAGAGGAGGATTGGCAGTAGTGAGCTCAGGGCTAATCTTTCTCAACAACGACAAGAAAAAGAAATGAAGAACAGTGGAAATGGTATTAAAGTCTAGTTTTCCCCCTAGTTTCACTGAAATACATTTGATTATTTAAGGCAAAAATGGTATTATGATTTATTATATATGTAGATATAAGAAGTATGACAACTATAGCATAAAGGACAGGAGTGAAGTAGATGGACCTCCACAAAATAAGTGTCTTATATTTGATGTGAGTAAAGTAGTACAATAATAACTCCAAGTACACTGAAAATTTAAGGATGTATATTGTAATCCTTAGCACAACTACTGAAAAAATGATGCAAAGAGATATCACTAAGAAACAAGTAAATAAATTAAAATAGATTTCTAAAAGAGCATACAATTAACCCAAAAGAAGACAGGAAAAAAACCCAGAGAAAAACAGAACAAGCAGAAAACAAATAGCAATATAGTTGACCTATATCCAACTATGTCAATAAATACATTAAATATCACAGAATTAAAGACTACAATTAAAAGATAAACACAGAAAGAAAGGAAAAGGAAGCAAGATCCAACTACTTGTTGTCTATGAGAGGTGTACTTTAAATATTAAAGATACAAATATATTGAAAGGAAATGAATAGAAAAACATGTATCATGTAAACAGTTGGCACAAGAAGGCTGAAATGGCTATATTAACCAGATAAAATAGTTCAGGATGAATAGTATTGCCAATGATAAAGAGAGAGATTTCATAAAAATGAATAAATGGAGATATGCCATGTTCATGGATTATAAGACTTGGCGTTGTTAAGACATTTATATCCCCATATTGACGTAAGTATTCAGTCCAATCTCTTTCAAAATCCCACTGGGCTTTCCTTTTTTTTCTTTCTCCTTCTTTCTGTTTTTTTTTGAGGGTAGAAACTAACAAGTTGATTCTAAAATTTACATAGACATGCAAAGGACATATTAAGCTTGAAAAATGAAATATGAGGACTTACACTACCTGACTTTAAGACCTACTATAAATCTACAGTAATCAAGACAGGTGATAGTGACAAAAGAACTGACAAGTAAGTCAATGAATCAAAACTGAAATCCCAGAAGTAACTCGACATAGATACATGGTCATTTGATTTTCAACAAAGCTGCCAAAACAATCCAATGGGAGAAAAGAGTCTTCAACAAATGGTTCTGCAATAACTAGATAACTATAGGTAAAAAAATGAAATTGGCCTCAACTCACACGATACACAAAAGTTAATATGAATTGATTAATAGAACTAACATAAAAGCTAAAGCTATGAAGTTTCCAGAAGAAAACACATGAGAATATTATCATGACTTGGGAGTAGCCAAAGCTTTCTTAGCCAGGACACAGAAAGCAATAAACTTAATAAAAGAAGAAACTGGATAAATCAGACTTCATCAGAAGTTCAAAACTTCTGCTCGTCAACATACACCATTAAGACAGTGAATAGGTAAGCCACAAACTGAGCAAAAATATGTGAAAAACATTCATTTGACAAAGGATTGTTACAAAGGATATAAAAAGAACTCCTCCCAATTAGTAATAAAAGACAACCCTCTCTCAAAAAATTGGGTGAAGGATTTGAAGAGACTCTTCCCTGAGGAAGATACATGAATGGCCAATCAGCACATGAAAAAACGCTCAAGATCATTAGTCATCAAGGAAATCCTAATTCAATCTATCATGAGTTATCCATTAAGAATGGTTATAAGTAAAAATGACAAGCATGTTGACGAACACATGGTGCAACTGGAACTCGCACTTTTGCTGGTGGAAGTATAAAGATACCACCATTTTGGGAGAAAAAGTTTTGCAGTATCTTCAAAAAACAAACACCTATTCTGTGACCCATAATTTCATTCCAGCTATTTACCTAAGAGAAATGAAAGCCTTTCTCTATAAAGACTTGCACAAAAATGCTCATAATGGGTTTATTCATAATACCTCAAAAACTGGAAACAGTCTAGGTGTCCACCAAAATGAGAATACATAAACTGATATATTCAAACAATGGACCATTACTCAGCAATAAAGAAGAATAAATTGTACTTATATTGAAAAACATAAATTTCAAAAATATCCAGAATGAAAGAAATTTCATACAAAAAGAGTGAACATACTATGTTTTCTTTATATGAAGTTCTAGAACAGAAAAAACTAATCTACGATGAAAAAATTGGAACACTGGTTGCTTTTCTGAGGATGATGGTAGGGATTGACAGAGAAGAGGTATGGAAGGAACTTTCTGAACTGATGGTAATGTTTTATATCTTGAGAGGGATTTAGAATGTGACAGGTTTATACATTTGTCAAAATTCACCAAAGGATATACTTAAGAATTCAATGGTTCACTGTGTATAAATTTTACCTTAAAATTAGCAGATCCATAAACAAATTATACATAATGAAGTGTTTAGGCATGAAGTATACTGATGTTTACAGCTTACTTTGTAATGTATCAAAAAAAAATAAGACAAATTGATGGATGCTTAAAGGAACAATTAGATGCATAGATACAGTAAACATTAATGTAATAAATATAGAGTTAATATAGTAAAATGTTAATTGCTGAACCTAGATGACAGATATATGGTGTTCAGTGTATAATCCTTTTAACTCTTTTGTATGTTTGAAAAGTTTTATAGTAAAATTTAGAAAAAAATCAGTATCTTGCTTGAGCCAGAAAGAAAGTCTGTTAAAAAAGTTTGAGTATGGGCCAGCCCTGGTGGCCTAGTGGTTAAATTCGGTGGGCCCCAGGTCGGCAGTCCAGGTTTGGTTCCCAGGTGTGGACCTACATCACTTGTCTCTCAGTTGCCATGCTCTGGTGGTGGCTCACATATAAAAAGAGGAAGACTGGCAATAGATGTTAGCTCAGGGTGAATCTTCCCCAGCAAAAAACAAAGAGTAGAAGTCATTAAGTATTGTTAAGCGTAAATTGGCTGCTTTTAAAAATTTGAATAATGAGAAAAACAGAGCATATTTCCCATATCTCTGAAAAGAACTGAATAAGACCTTTTCCACTCTGCACCAAAAAAAACAAAGAAAAGAAAAATAAGAATAAGAAATTATCAACTGACCTTTTTTCTTTTCTTTTGCTTGGTTTTAGCTGAGTCTTGTCCATTCCCTAGGGATCCTGATGTGGTTTTCCCTGAGTGCTGTGATCCAGATGATGGAGCTGTTGGTGTAGGAGGAGGTGTGTTCTCAGGGGAGTCTGGGTAGGACTTCATGCAAGACCCCTGCCCAAAGAGATGTGGTTTTGAAATCAAGTGACCAGGACTTCTACCAACATTCGATTTTGCTTAATATCTCATGAATTTAATACTATTTGAAGCTTACAAACATAAAAACACAATTTATTTTTCTCCAGTCCACAGAAATGATGACTCCATCTTGTCCCTAAGGGCCTAAACATGTCAATTTTTAATCTGATCATTTAGATAAAATCAGGATTCCTCAGATACAGCTTCCAAAATTCCTGCTGATTTTGTCAGATACAGACATTTCTACTTGGAAGTTTTGTTAGCACTTCACACTTAACGTGTTTCAAAAGGAACCTCTAAACTTCCCCCCACATGGGATGCCTTCTAGACATTATTTGTATCAGTGGTGACCAGCCTTCTCCCAGTAACTCAAATTCAATATCTTAGGGTCAGTGTAGATACCTCTAGCTCCTCCGACATCTAGTTCCTTCTTTCCTTTATAACATCTCTCATATCTATCTGGTTTCTTTGGCTATGACTACGAGTCTGTTCTCTCTTCCATGCGGAAGCAATTCAAGTATTTGAAGACTGTTATATTTCACAGCCTCTTCTCTTCTATGGGTCAAACACCTCAGTTCTTTCAACCAGTTATTATGAGACATGTTTTCAGGTTCCTTCACCCCAATTACTCCCCTTTAGACATCTTCCACTGTGTCAATGTCTACCCTATAGGATGGTGCAAAAAACTAAACAAAACTAAAAAAGTTCTTAGTTTACCAGTAACATCACATTATTGGCTCCTAAGAAATTTACAGGCCATTAAGTCTCTAAATGTTTTTCAGATATGGTATTATTAATTTATATTTTCTTCATCCTATCAGCCGCACTAACTATATTACCTACTGACCTACAATTCTCTATAATGTATTTAAAATATCATGCTAAACTTTCTAAAATGTTTTGCTGAAATTCAGCTGTTGGTTTCAAGAGTATTTCTTTGATCTGCTTGCCTAGAAATATTATCAAATAAGTAGGAATAAAGCGAATCTGGCACGAGATGTTCTCAGGAAAAATAAGATAACTCTTAGGGATCATTGCTTCCTGAGAATAAATCACATGTTAGAAAAAAGATCTAGAAAATTAACTTGAATTAATATTAAACTTGCTGATCTAACATGAGAAACTCAAGCTTAACCAGCTCATATGATTAGTGCTCAAGAATGATAATTAGTAAAACAGAATGTACTGTGTCTTAACTCCATGCCTTGAGTTTCCAATTCCAATTCCACTGCACGTGGCACCTCTATTTGGATCTTAACACCCTTTTGAATTCATCACCCTTTAGCCAAGAAACCTTCAACTCTTCCTTAATAACTAAGAGTCTAAGGCCTTAACTTTCTAATCTCACTTATTACCCCTCCTCAGTGAACCCTTTCCCTGAATATTTTAATCAGAGTTGTTTTTGTTTTTAGCTTGTACAATTATACTTATGCTGCCTCTGAGGCCTGGAGTATTCTCCCCATTTTTTTTTTTTTGAGGAAGATTAGCCCTGAGCTAACTACTGCCAGTCCTCCTCTGTTTTTTGCTGAGGAAGCCTGGCCCTGAGCTAACATCCGTGCCCATCTTCCTCCACTTTATATGTGGGACACCTACCACAGCATGGTGTGCCAAGTGGTGCCATGTCTGCACCCGGGATCCGAACCGGCAAACCCCGGGCCGCCTAGCAGTGGAATGTACGTACTTAACCGCTGCGTCACCAGGCCGGCCCCTCTCCCCATTTTTATGATCTCATCAAAGTAGTCCTATCTTTCCTTCAACACCCAGCTTCTTCTCTGAGTCTTGTCTGACTGTAATTAGGTTTTTTCTTTATCTCTGCACCTTCTGTCTATGCCACTATCTTGAACTGTTTCCTTGTTCATTTATGTCCTTGTTTTACAGAATGTTTGTTTTACAGAATGCTTTATCTCCCTGAATACAGATGATATGAGTCTTCAGAGTCCCCCTTTGTACCCAAGTTGGTGAAGCCCTGAAAGCAGGCCCTTGATGTGGTCACTGATTTGAAATGTTGATGAGTAAGATTACTACTTTAGAATGGCCATTCTCTTCGTGTTTTGTCAGGTAACAAAGGGCAGGAAGACTTCTAGTCCCTCTGAACGTTCACTTTGACCACCAGTCACATAGGAGGAGGGGTGTCTGTCAGGCCAGGGAAAAGCTTGAGGCTTGTACTAACATATTTAGTCAGGATGCTTTCCGACACTCATGCTCCCACCTCCCAGAGAGCCCTGGAAATCCAGCACACATAGGCCATTTTTCTTAACTGCCGGGTAGCTGGGAACAGCGGCTGTGGTTGCTGAGCAGTTGCCCAGGGCAGCTTGGCCACCCTGGAGAACCAAGAAGGGGGGGAAATAAAGAGTGTTCCTAGCCATGCAAGCAATCCCTTGAATGTTAAGGGAAAACTAGGCTTGTTATGTTCACTGTAAATTTCTTCAATTAGAAATGTTACATCAAATTTGTCTGATGTTAATGAAAAGCATACTTATACACATATTCATAAAGTGAACATGTATCAAAGACATTTTAAAGGGTGTTCTTTGACATCATAATTTGGGTTTGTAACATAAAGAAAACAAATAGTGTTTAATCAACTGGGTAAGCTTTAGGGACTTTTAAAGTATGTTGACTGATAATGATGTATGACCTTTTCCAAGAAAAAAATGAATTTTTAACAGGCACAAACATTTTAATTTCTACTTGGATTGCAAGCCAATTTGATTCTCCAAGGGGCATAAAAAGATGTCAGACTTTTGGCTTGTAACAAGATGCTATATGGGCATATACTTTTATATATTTTCTAAGTGTCCTATAGCAGAAATACTTAAACTTGGGGTCCATAGAGTTCACAGATCCCTTAGATCCACAGAATGGTTTCAGAGGGTCTCTGAATACACTTGAAATTGTAAGCAAAATTTGCAAATATGCTTATGGAGAAAGGGTTTATAGTTTTTGTCAGATTCTCAAAGGGACTTAGCCATTTTTAGGTTACATATTTCACTCAAGTTGATCCAAAGCTCACTTTACAGTTACACATGTAGATGTTAACCTAACCTCCTTGCTGCCTTCTCTATGGTTACTGGATTGAATTATAGGAAACTGCTGTTTATATTAGTACAAAAGGTCAAGTATTAGCAAATTCATTCAATAGATGATACTACATTTCTGGTTTTTAGGCACATGCTGCTTACAAAGAATAATTTTTATACCACAAGTGGTATACAGTTATTACACAAAGCCTTAAAGTTGGCAAGAAGACTTTGTAGTCCCCACAGGTGGGGATCTCAGCAACATAAACTGGATCAGAAGGGATGTGATCTTCACAGGATAGGGCCAATCTAAACACGAAGGAGAGATGGAGCCATGCTTCTTGAAGTCATGTTTAGAGATGGATCAATAACTGGAATGTAAAATTATCAATAAATGTCAGGAATTATTACCATATGAATAATAATAAACCTCTCAGCTTTGAGGCACAAAGAAGTAAGTAACTTCTCAATGTTATTCAATTACCTAAACCAGTTGTTCATCTCCCATGGGAATGAGACATGCTCTGCAATTATTCCTCTTTCACCGAAGAGTGAGGAAAGTTAAATAAAGGAAAGAAAAGGTGAAAAAAATCACTGTATTCAGTGGATTGTTAGTGCTCGGCACAGAGTAGGTGCTCATAAATATCTGAATGTTGAATGCACTAAGATTCTTTGAGGGCTATAAACTCCTACATAATCTTTTTCAGAGAACTACTAATGTAAATACCAGACATGAGAAAAAGTCCACAGATGTGTCAAAGAGATATTTTGATACTTACCTCAGCAGAGTTGTGGTACTGAATGAAGGTTGCAGAAATGGCATGGCTGAAGGGGTCTCCTGCCTTGGTTACCATGTCCTGCCTCACAAGAAGAGCCAGATCCACTAACTGAGAGATCAGAGCAATGAAAATCAAGTCACATAGCTGGAGATAATCATCAATGTCACCAAAGTGGCAAAACTAAGAGCAATACATTTCAAATGTTATTGATAATACTGTTTGCCCAAAAATCTGTATTGTGGACACGGGCATATGCTTTCAATGACTGGTAAATGGACCTACCAATGAATAGATATGATATACTCTGAGCTTCTAGGGGAGTAGTTCTCAAACTTTATTTCATAATCACTAGGGAAGCACTTTAAAATACAGATTTCTGGGCTCCAAGCCCCAAGATTCTAATTCAGTAGGTCTGCTCTGGGGTGTAGCCTAGGAATTTACAATTCAAACAAGAACCAGGGAGATGCTAATGCTTGTGGTCTAAGGACCATGCTTTGAGGAACTGTTAGAGGGCAATGATTTCAAAGTCAGATTTTGGCAAGCCCTCAGCAGATTGTACATATCTAGAAAGGTATTTTTCAAAGTCCAAAAATAATCTCTAAACAAGGCAGATGTGTACTTAGAATTCAATGTTGAGAAAAAGTATGCAGGGATTCCATTTCTGGTTAGGATAAAGTTGCAAGAAACAGTCATTTTTACCCTAATACCCATCAGAACTGAGGATGCAAAGAAACATAAACGAACTAAATTTCAGAAAATAAGATTGTCATAGGAGAAAACTCATGGCTGTTTTCAGTTGCAGCAGAGCAGCAGGTGGAAGAATTCATCATGGACAGGGACGGGAGAAAGCAGCCATGTGTGGCCTGCGATGACAGCTTAAAATCCTTACCTGTGCCACAGTTTCATACGCTAAATATGCTAAAATTTCCATAGCCACAACACTGGGTTTTATCTCCATGCTGCTGCAGTCCAACCAGTCTCGAAACTTGGAAGCTTTCTTGTCTAGCCATTAAAGAAACAAGTACAGAAATTTTATTTTTCGAAGTGTTTTAATACTGCATGTTACTATCACAAAATGAAAAATATCTCTCTTGAAAATAGCATATGAAAATTAATGCATATAAAATGCAACATTTTCCAAGTTTTACTAGTGTCCAGAGATTCTAGCCCCAAGAAATCCCTTATCCACTTGGGCCCTTTATTTTGTATCTATGCTACATGACACAGTAAACGAAACCACTAACGTTTAGCATTTCTCATACTGCGTGAGAGTAAGTTACCACTGGCCATAGCTTATGTTACAACAACACTCAGAAGAGTTGCTTCATGTAACTTTAATTTATTCTTGTAGAAAGAAAATCCTGCAACAAAGAACCTGTGATGAAAAAAGGAACACAGAGAAGTTGTATTTTTAATATCTTTCAAAACATGCCTATTACTAGAATAGGCTCAAAGTCACGAGTTTAGAATTAAATAGAATAAACTGCTATCTGGCCTGATCTAAGCCTGTGGTTACATTTTCCTTATTACAGAGATGTTCAGATTCTTAAGCCTGACTCTCAAAACCATCCATTCTGATTCCAACCTGCCTTTATATTTTTCCCTATTAAAATGTCACCTGGCCTGGAGGAGGATCCTCTCCATGTTCGCCCTTGCTCCTTTCCCTCCATGGAATGCCCTCCCATCACTCTTCTTCACTCATATGAATCCTGCCCAGGCAGCCCAGAGGGATACTTCCCCACTCTCGTCATTTATTGAACACTTACATCAGCAGATATCCTTTCATGTCTGCTTATAATTTCTTAAACCATATTATAAGTTCTTTGTGGGCAAACACCATGTGTCACATCTCTGTGCATGCCTAACAGTACCAAGCACATGTGGGACCTTCTGTTCTATCTCTAAACTGCCAGTGCTAAGCAGAGTCTAACCTGACATTGGGTCTTCATTAGATATTACTAATTTAACTAGTAACCCAGAGGAAAAAGACTGATAGTGAAGATTTTATCATATGTATAACATCATAATCTTTTTAAAAAAATCCACTGATTATTCTTTTGATTAATCTGGTCCCACAGGTCCATAAAACACTTCACGGTAACTCAAAGCATGATGTTTTGATCCTTATAGATACAGTCTTCATAGATTCCACATACAGAAGAGTTTTCTTTTAAATAAATCATAGAAGACATTAAGTCCTGCTATCGAAGCACATATCCAAAGCTGTCAACTGTGGCAGAATTATGATAATCCTCCTTAAAGCTATCACCCTAAAGTAACCAATCTTCCAAATACTCTCTGACAGGCAACATTCCATCTAACTAGTAAGCTGCAATAGCTCACAAACACTTGTTTAACATCTGTGGAATACGTCTGAAGTTGAAGTTAACAGGCAGCAATTTGGCAAGATCAATAAAATGTACCTTATTCATGTCTCCCTTTGACAGATTGTTAGGAACACAGAAACAGATATTTTGTGACCATGCTCTAAACAATTTATTTGAAAAGTGAGGGAAAGGATAGCTCTTAGCCTTCCATCAGATCTGTCTACCTCAGCACAGAATTAGTAGCTTCCTCAACTAGACTTTAAGCACTGAGAATGCAGGGACAAGGACCATGTGCATCCACCCTTGTGTCTCCAGCCCTAGAAGAGTGCCTAGCATTAGCAGACTCACAATAAATATTTCTAGAAGAAATGAATGATTGAAGGAACAAATGAATGAAATATATTTCTCTAATAAACGGGTAAGGCCCCAACTTTTCTATATATCAAGAAGACGCATAGAGGTCCCATGAAACCACTTAGGTTACTGCTATTCCAGCAGCAGGTGAAGATTCTCTGAGCTAATTCCCTCCTTGTCACCTGAAGACGGATTGCTTCAGAGATGGACCCTTCCAGGGTATTGCTGGTTCCAGCAAAAGAGGCACAGGTACCCTTAGTCATGATCGTTTGTTTCCATCAAGAGGTGAGCGGGCATCAATGAATGAGTTCCTTCCCCTTCACTCCTCTTCTCAATAGGTCAGGAGAAAGGGTAATCTTGGAAACTAATCAATGATGTAAATAGAATCCTGAACAAACGTCAAAAGTTCCTGGATTATCAGCTGACACTATTTGGGTTTTCAGTCTGTGCTGGAATTAAAATAACTTGACATAATAATTTCATATGGAAATTTAAGGTTAGTTAATTCTTACACACTTCTTTTTAGTCTTTCTCATCAATGATCACTAGCAAAATTCAAGTTTATCTCAAAATTGCATTCTCTCACTGCAGACTATTTCATCATTTCTGCCTCATCCTTTTTCACCAGTCTTTCCATTCCTGATCCTTCCCTCAGGGCCCTCTGTTATGCTTATTCCAGTCTGAAGAAATTCTTCTGCAACTTCAGTCTCTTCAAAATCACTTTTCTTTGGGTTAACTGAAAATAGCTTTCCTCAAAGGGTATGGGTTTGCCTGGAACCTTTTATAGCAGAGGTTCCTTCTTTATTTCCTTCTATACACATTTATTGGGCAGTTACTGATTGCCAGCCTGCTCATTTCCCCATATACCAGAGGCCTTGGAGGCAATATCTTCATTCTCTTAGTTTCTCCCATAGGGAAAATACAGAACAAGCAGACAGCAGAAATCTTACCAACAAAGAGGCTAAAAGACCACAGAATCATGCTTTAACAAATTTCTTTTTGTAACAAATAAGCTTACAATTTCCTACCCAACTAAACTATCATTTAAGTACAAAGGCAAAATAAAGCCATTTTTAAGACAAAAATGAGTGCTTTAAGCCCTTACAGAGCCTTGGGAAAAACAAAATTAGGCTGAGAAGGAATGTTTAGATACTTATCAAGTTAAAAAACTTTGAGTCAGGGATGCGTATTAAAAAAATTAGAGATAGCAACTAAAATAAAAGAAATAGAATATATAATCCACAAACTGGTAGAGGAAAAATGGGATGAAGAAAACCCAACCAATCCGACAGAACACAGAAGAGGAGGAGGAAAAGCAAATAAAAAAGCACATTAAATTTAAAACACAAAATAAGGCGGTGTGTATAAACCCAAATGTCTAAGCAATTAAATACATATAAATTAAATTCATCAATTAAAATACAAAGAGACTCTCAAATTAACTAAAAAGAAAATCTAGATATTTGTTTACAAAATCCACATACAAAACAAAAGGTTGACAGGAAAGGATAAGAGAAAGATGTACCAAACTAAAACTAAATTAAAGCTTTGTGAATTGATATTAACATTGATATTAACATTAGATTTTAAAAGACTTTAAGGGAAATGACTATCTGGACTTATATAAATATAAAAACAAAAGATTGGTGGGGCCGGCCTGGTGGTATAGTGGTTAAGTGTGCACGTTCTGCTTCGGCGGCCCGGGGTTCACTGGTTCGGATCCCAGGTGCAGACATGGCACCACTTGGCACCCCATGCTGTGGTAGATGTCCCAAGTATAAAGTGGAGGAAGATGGGCACAGATGTTAGCTCAGGACCAGTCTTCCTCAGAAAAAAGAGGAGGATTGGCAGCAGTTAGCTCAGGGCTAATCTCCCACCGCGGCGCCCCCCCCCAAAAAAAAGATTGGTGAATTTGATCAGTGTTCTGATTCTACAACTTAGCCTCAGCCTATAAAGTTATAGACTTGTTATTTTAAAATGTACCAGTAGTCCCAATTAGTGAATGCTATGGTCAAATACTGAAGATGACACATATGGCTGGATCACAACCCCTATATCCTGGTAATTTATCAGGAGAGGAATGAAAAGAGCCTAACACTCTGACCAGGATGGGAAATCAGTTCTGAATTTGCTGAACCACTTGGATTAAGCATTCCCAGCCACAACATTTTGGCCTATAAAACAGATTCTCCCACTAAGGTTTCATAATGAAGCACCTATGGGTACCATATAAAGAAATATTTTTAAGTGCCCAAATCCTTCTTCTTTAAAGAAAATAAAAAATTAAGAATATAGTGTTTATACTACAGTTATTTTATACAGAAAGGGAAAGTATTAATTTTTAATCTAATACAGTTTATTTTTGAGTTACAAACAAAAAACTGAGCCAATAAAAATCTGGCTTTCAAACAAAAGGTGCGATAGGACAGTTCAATGACTTTATGGTTTAGTGTGAAATAGTACTTCTTTTCCTTTAAGTGAATTAAATTTAAAATATGATTTTAAAAAATAGTTCAATAGCACTAAGTGTTACTTTATAAACTGGAGATTTATACTTATAAAAGACTTGAATGCCATTTTTAAACCTAAAAATTACAATACAAAAACCTCTCATTTGCTGAAATTGCCATGATCTGAAGTGTCATTTACTTAATGCTTCACAGATGTATGATGCCAAATTGTTAGTCAGACTGCAAAGTATATTTAGTTAGGGAAAAAATCTCCCAAACATGTTTTCCTATATTTTACTGACATTTACATGGGGCACTATTTGAAATGTGTCATTTATTTGCACTTTATGATCTATAAATGAAGCTCTCGTTTCCTTTTTCCAAATCAACTACGTTGTTATTGTGACCACATAATAGCTTTTCCTTTAAAGACACCATTGTGTCTATAATCCCTCAGACCAGGGTCATGTGCTACTTGGTCAGAGTTTGAACTGGACTTTTCATCCCACTTACTCTTTGACCTTTACCCCCAGAGTCTTAGTCATCACTGAACTGTTGCTGTAAAGACGTTTCCCTACAAATCTAGCCCACCATTTATCATGAGCCTTAATGTACTTTTAGTAAGCCTGTGGGCAGTGATGGGACAGTACTAATTTCACCACTAGGTTATTAGTATTCCAAGAGCTTGGACTAATGAATTTGGCTAACGCTGAATGCATGCCATAGCAGGTTACAGACAAAAATGGAAGAGACTATTGATATGTTCCTTTGTGGTAATATGAGTATGCATAAATAAATGGAGATTTGGTATTCATTAATATTAGGGGCTTTGAAATGTCATGACCACTGCTAGAGTCCATTATGGGTCAAGTATAATTAGCAATAGCGTAAACATGACTAAGAAACTGGGAAAGAAAGTAAAATGGGAATACTAAGAAAAATGGAATTTTTCTGACTAAAAGTAACGTGAATAATTAACTGGCTGTCTATGTATTACTAGCACCCTTTAAAATCTCTTAATACTATTAACTGCAAAACAGTAGAGTGGGGTAAAATCTTTTCTAGGCTCCCCGACAATGCAGAGGCTGTTTCTGTAACAGTTACAAGTATGCATACATTAAATTCACCAATTTCTCCTCAAATTGGTCAAATTTTCTCATCATATTCACATAGATTGTGTCATACTTGAGTATATCTGTAACACATAATCTCTTAAACATATAATGAAGCAAAGTTAAACACATACTTACAGAAACTTAATTGCCGACTTTCACAGAATTCTGCATATTGAGCTGAATCCATAATTCGAGTTTGTCTTTCTGCTCTCTAACAATGATAAAAACAATTTTTTTTTTAAAATTAGCAGACTATAATATACATTTCACAGCTAAAACTTAGAATTGGAATTCCATTTTCCTTTCCTTATTCTAGGTAAACAGTTTAGTACCAACATAAATACCAAAATACATGAAATTATAAGTAGTAGTTTTGAAGTTTTTTTCTTTTGGAAATAAAGTTTAAAATACCATTTTCTACTCCTCTGTTATGGTCACTATAGTGAAAGAAAAAAGAAATGGCTTCACTTCTTAGATTGTGCACTTCTAAATTTTCTTAACTGTACCCCCTTTCAAAGAAAAAGAAAACTGTGAGGCGATGATGATAAACAGAAAAACTGTTATTGACTATTACTGCCCATCTGCCTTAAAGCTGGGATTTTTCAATGTTAAAATAGGAGTCAACAAATGGAACCCATATATTTCCTCTCAGAACATGGAGCCAGAGCTAACAAATCCATATTTCAAATTGCAAAGAAAATAAAGAAAAAGGTAAACACAATACAAATCCTTTAATCTGAGTCCAGGTATGATTCACAGTGTGGTATAGTTTCCTCCGTGGGTTTTTGGATTCAGTATAGCAGATGTTGCCGCTTCATTGTCCCACAAGAGGTAGGATAATTATAACTCACCCATAGTTTGGTGGGAAAGAATATGACCGCTTCCGCTTCCTCGGCAAGGGAAGCATTTTGAAATGAGACAGGCTAGTACTTCTTGGAATGAGTTTCTGGCCAGTAAAGGAAAAAATTCCCTGAGATTTAAAATTTTTTTCTGCTTTGGAAGGACTTTCAGCAAGTTTTCTTTATCATAGTTGTTGGAGTACATAAGTACCACTTCCAATGTCTGTAGATGTTTTTATATTTTTTCAAACTGAAATTATTCTTTTTTCATTTTGTTTGATTTGGGTAAGTGGTCAACTTAATTCCAATGATAAATCAGTTTTTGGAGTGAATAATAGTGTACTGGCTGCAGCTTAATACAGAAAAGATAGATGGGGTGGTGGGAGTTAACGTAAAATTTACTAACTCCTGTGGCTTCTTCTAAGACCACTGATTCTTTTTGCCCTTCTTTGTTTCCTCCCCTCTCTCCCTCCTTTCCTTCCTAATCTCCGCCCTCCCACATACTCACAAACACACATATGCAGTGACACAAACCTAGACTTCTCTTGTCTATTTACCCTCTAGGTTCAAGTATCCTTTTTGAACATAGACAAGTAAATATTACACACACACACACACACACACACACACATGCATGTATATGTATATATGTCTACATATATATGTGCATACGTACCCTCATGTTAAGGAAACATCACGTTTCCCTAAGGGTCTATTATTGGCTGAATGTTTACGTACTTAGAAATATTTTTTGATATCTGAATGCACAATTTAGTTTTGTCCTTTTTAATGTATCTGACACATGACTCAATAAGTGTTTGCTAATGAAAAACAGGAAGCAAGGGAGACTTTGTGTGTTTTGTACACAACAAATCTGTTACTAATGTGTTTATTAGAAAAAGCTCTAAGACTGATAACATTGTATCATTAATGTATGTATTATGTCTGTCTGTCTGTATGTATATCTGTCTGTCTGTCTGTGTCTGACTATATATAGCAGGAACCTCTCCGGTTTGAATTTCTAGCTCCTAGAACATATCTGACATATGGTAAATAAGCAACAAACACTGGTAGAATGAACAAATGTCACCATTTTAGTCTATGATCAGGGTGAATGACTATCACCATCCTGAAGCCAGGCCTTGATCATCTGTGCACCCCTCCAGGTCTTCTCTGCTACTCTCTAGCTAGGCAGTCTCATCCACCCAACACGTGCTAGACAGAAAGGACACAGACAACCACGGAAAAAGAAAGTTTCTCAAAGGATTCTTAACACTAACTTTTCTTCTACCAAGTCGGACAATCAAGATTTGGCTTCTGTATGTATGCTTAGATAGTTGACACATCCGCAATAAGTATTCCTGGAAATGAAAGTTAGGAAAACTTACCCTAAGAGGTTACGGTTGCCAGAGTTGCCAGCTTTAATTAAGTGAGGCGTTTAGCTACTTGGAAGATTTTGAACTGCAAAGCCTATCATCTGATTGCATGCGAAAGATATTGAAGGGCTGTAGATTAGTCCAGCTAGCTTCATTCCTTTCGGACACTCTCTGCAGTGTCTATTCTCTTTTCTTCATTGAGCATCTTAGTTTGATTTCAATACCTCTAGCATCCAAACAGCAACCTTTGATCTCAGGAGACCCATGAAGCTGACCCTGCGGTGTGCATAGGAAACTATTTACAAAGTGTCCAGCACACAGCAAACAGCGCAAAGCAGCCAACTTAACAGCAAAGACTTAGAGGCAGTACAAAACCACAGCATATGAGAGCTAGAGGGTAGCTTAAAGCTTATAGTGTTCAACCCCTCTCATTTTAAAGATAAGGAAATTGAGGTTCAGAGAGAAGTGATTTACCAAAAGGTGACCAAGTTAGAACTGAAGCCCAGGACTCCCAATTCCTAACAAGCCTATTTTCATTACAAAAAGCCGTCTCTAACCTATAGTAGGTTTTTACTCCAGTATTTTTCTTTGGAATCCTCTCAACTCTATACACTGTCTCTCTACAATGTATCATGGAGCCACTATAATTAACCTGCCCAAACTGTTCATGAGAAAACGAATTTAGTGAGGCCCTTGGTCAGCACAGAAGGCACAACCCGGGGATAACCTAGTGCAGAGTGTAGGAACTGTGGTGGACCTAATAGTGCATGGGTGTGCTGCAAACACATCACAGGCGTGTAGAGATAGTGTTTCCCCTCTACCTTCTGGATGTCACACAAGGCTGAGGCAGCAGAATCTCTAGGCTGGTATCTGGCTACAAGTTGCCTTGTCCATTTACCTTGGTGTGGCATAAAAATATTTTCATTTTCTATGTGTTCCATGACATGAAAAATGTTGGGAAGCACTCATACTAATACTAATGTCCCTGAATATTATATGACACAGTGCACACATGCTATTCACAGCACAGTCAAGTGAGCTCAAGATGAAATCAGAGACACCACCTGGGATTTGATGATGCTGAGGATGACTCAGATATGCTCACTATGCGAATTTTTGTTTACTTCTCTCTCTTCCCCAGCAATTGTTTCAAATAACCAAAAGAAAGGGACTGAGGCAAAAGAAATGCATATAATTCCCTGTTGGCTGATCTAAAATCAGGAACTGTAATTGTTATATAGCGATGTATAATAAAAAATATATATTTGGTCTTCATCCTCATTTCTGGCTCCCAAAACCCTAGGAATTTTCTAAGTTTGGAGAGTGATAAAGACGTCTTTTGCTACGTTAATGAGGTGACTTTTGGAAAGCACCAAAGGATGGGGGCTGGTCACCAGTGGAGGCAACCCTGTGATTAGAGGGTTGACCTTTCAGGCCCACCCCCTGACTTCCAGGGAGGAGAGAGCGGCTGCAGATTGAGTTCAATCACCAATCACCAACGGTTTACTCAACCATGATTACCTAATGCAGCCTCCATAAAAACGCAAAAAGAGAAGGTTCGAAGAGCTTCTGGGTTGATGAACACATGGAGGTGCTGGGAGACTGGCATGGGAGAGAGCTTGGAAGCTCCAAGCTCTTTCCCCATACCTTGCCTTATGCATCTTTTCTGCCTAGCTGTTTCTGAGTTATAATCTTTTATAATAAGTCGGTGATCTGGTAACCAAAATGTTTCTCTGAGTTCTGTGAGCTGCTTTAGCAAGTTCATCAAAGCTGAGGAAGAGGTCTTGGAAACCTCTTGATTTAGAGCCGGTTGGTCAGAAGTACAGGTAACAACCTGGACCTGCAACTTGTATCTGAAGTCCAAGGAGGAGGCAGGTCGTGGAACCTCCCATCTGTAGCCTGTGGGTCAGAAGCACAGGTACCAACCTGGGCTTGCAACTGGCATCCCCAATCAGGGGCAGCCTTGTAGGACTGAACTCTTAACCTGTGGAATCTGATACTATCTCCAGGCAGATAGTGTCAGAACTGAGTTGAACTGAGATGAATTCTTGGAAACCCTGCTGGTGACCAAGAATTGCTTGTCAGTGTGGTGAAGCCTACCCCCCCTGAGATGTTGGAACTGGGTCCAAGAACCTATTTAGAAATATGCGTAATCAAATTGTACAAATTCCAGAGAGGGTAGGCAGTTTTTTAAGGCAGAGATTCATAAATCAAGACATTGGCCAACTATCAAATAAGTTTGGCTCTTACTTTCTGTATTGTCCTAATTCCACTTTCCCTTCTGCCTCTGTTCAGATCACCCATTCCAATCCTCACTAAAGTGCACGTTGGCAATCCTTTTCTATTCCTGGTAGTGTAAGAAATCGCTGGGAAAAGACACCAGGGTGGGGGCGGGGGGAATCATAAACCTAGTAAAACAGCATGATCAGAATAACAATGCCTACTCTTTACACAGAGCAGCAAAACAACCTTACGGATCAACAGTTTTAATAGCTTCATTTTGCAGGTGAGGACACTGAGATTTAGAGAAGTTAAAAACAATTTTAAAGCATATAGTTAATAAATAGGCAAAGCTAGAAGTAAAACTTGGGTCCTAAATGACCTACTCTGAGGTACATCACTGAGTTACCCTAGCTGGTTAATTACAGCTTCTGTCCACACTGAATGTTCTCAAATTACACAGTACTCTCCTGATCTCAGACTCCGCATCAACCTAAGGTCAGCTCTGGATTAGTCAGGCTCTTGTACCTGCAAGTCCAGCTTGTTTTCTGCTTAATCTGTCCATTCTGCCCACTCCTTGGTTTCTTTAGGTATCAACAGTGCTCTTGAACACACATAAAAACATGTTACATACTCAGAGGCTTTTCTGAAATTAAACCTTACTACTGTTACAACATAGCACAGTATTACCACATAGGGGAATATATGGAAAAACTACCTTTGAACGAATTACTCCTAAAATTTCCCACACACCCAACAATATTTTGAAATTTAAT